GATATATAGCGTGACTGGCAGTAGGCAATGTCATTGCTGGCTAGTATTTGTCTTCACACCTGACAACCTGCTGTGCCCCATTGGTCATGACTTCTCATGGAATTGATTGGCAATAGGATCGGGTCCCAGTGGCTTTATGGTCTATGACCTTGCCTCGTAAACAGAAGGTTTTCGATTTTAAACCCTTGTACAGGGACGCGTACTGATGAAGAGTCCCATAGTAGCGGGACAAAACAGCTGACTGCCTAGTACTCCCTGGTGTTTTTCCAGTGCTTCTGCAACCAATGTTAGCTCATCATTGCTGAAATCCTGTAACCAATCAAACTAAATCCCTGTAAACCAATACTACTTTTATTTCATTCTTTAGTTGTCAACTGGAATATACAAGGAATGGCATTCGAACAATATCTTTCTCAAATATGCCTCTTTCAAACATTAGAAAGAAAGAAAGAAAGAAGTGAAACGGAGTTGACAGTGACTGAATATTACTTCCTGATTCCTGTTCAGTACACTCGATTGATACTAGATTTACCAACGATAATTTATCTGTAGTCAAATTGATATATTCAAGTGTCGGTTTACAACGATTTGATTTCATTTGACTGGTTATAGGATTTCATCAATATGAGCTGACTGACATAGTTTAGAGTACCATTGGAAAACCATTGTGTGTAAAAAACTTGGGCACTGTGGTAGTATGCATGTAGTTATGAGTGATCTGATTATGGACAATAAATTTTGCTTAACACTTCACCCAGTAAATAGCAATGTTTCGCTATTATAGTATAATCTTTTTCTGGACAGTATTTTGTATAACTGAAAACTTTTATTTCCCGATATGAATTTAAAACAAGCAACAAAGATGGTTAATAAAGCAGGATAACTTAATGAATTCATCAAATTTCGGTAGAACTACTCGTCAGCTGAATACTCTACATACACGGATATATACACTTTTGAAATTACATTGGGAGATACAAGACTGATAAGTAAACAAACTACATTAAATTAGTCATGCAGAGACGACAGGTGAGAATGTTTTCCAGGCCAGGTTCAAATAAATAAGGCGAGAGAGAGTATGAGAGATTAAAATTAAGATAAATTCCATTACGCTTCAATTATGTCACTTGGATAAACAATTAGTCATTAGAGAACATAACAGGAATTGCAGAGTAATATCAATAGTAATAGTTATAATAACAATAATAATAGTGTTGAAGTGAGTTAAGATTATCCTACTGATAAATGATAGTTTTAAATGAATCAAGAATAATAATAATAATAAGACGTAGAATAATAAGTGAAACGTATTACCATGGTAGATTAAGAGTCACAACCATCTCCTTTTGTACACATGAGTAGTATAGTTAAGAAAGTGCTATGAAGCTAACTGAAGGATAGAACATCCTTTAGATTTCTTCTACTTATAGAGTTTTGTGCGGTATTTTACTTTGTTGGTGGTCAGGTATTTTTCATCACCTAAAGTCGTGTTTTCGATGTCCCTCGCAAAAATGACACTTAAATCATTCGAGTTGGGATAATTAATTCTCTCTATTTTCTCTTTTTTGCTTAGCTTAAACTCTCATTCCTCAGTCATTTGCTTTATTGATCGCATAAGAGTGACGGTATAAATTTATTGTGAGACTCAAAAAGAATTAATGCTTACAATCGGTAAAGATTACAACAAAATAAATCAATATAATTTCGTATTGTGTCTATTAGAATATAAATTTAATTATCTGTCATAGATTAATGGTGATGTAAAGTGTAAAACTGTTGTATCAGACAACCAACTAGCTATGTTTCGAATGTTTGAAGATAAATAACTATTTTTTGTGTAAAGATCCACTTAGTTTGATCTTAAGACATTCTTTAGTTGATTACAGCAATTTCATCATGATGAGTTGACATCAGTCAGAGAACTGGACAGCTGTTTCGTGCCACTAGTTTGAATCTCTTCAGCGGCACTTATCCGTCGCCACAATCTCATCCCAGGACCTACCGGTTCCAAGGCTAGTTGGCTGGCACCCAATCCATTGCCTAGACCATGGATTCCAACTTCTGCCAATTCACGATATATAGCGTGACTGGCAGTAGGCAATGTCATTGCTGGCTAGTATTTGTCTTCACACCTGACAACCTGCTGTGCCCCATTGGTCATGACTTCTCATGGAATTGATTGGCAATAGGATCGGGTCCCAGTGGCTTTATGGTCTATGACCTTGCCTCGTAAACAGAAGGTTTTCGATTTTAAACCCTTGTACAGGGACGCGTACTGATGAAGAGTCCCATAGTAGCGGGACAAAACAGCTGACTGCCTAGTACTCCCTGGTGTTTTTCCAGTGCTTCTGCAACCAATGTTAGCTCATCATTGCTGAAATCCTGTAACCAATCAAACTAAATCCCTGTAAACCAATACTACTTTTATTTCATTCTTTAGTTGTCAACTGGAATATACAAGGAATGGCATTCGAACAATATCTTTCTCAAATATGCCTCTTTCAAACATTAGAAAGAAAGAAAGAAAGAAGTGAAACGGAGTTGACAGTGACTGAATATTACTTCCTGATTCCTGTTCAGTACACTCGATTGATACTAGATTTACCAACGATAATTTATCTGTAGTCAAATTGATATATTCAAGTGTCGGTTTACAACGATTTGATTTCATTTGACTGGTTATAGGATTTCATCAATATGAGCTGACTGACATAGTTTAGAGTACCATTGGAAAACCATTGTGTGTAAAAAACTTGGGCACTGTGGTAGTATGCATGTAGTTATGAGTGATCTGATTATGGACAATAAATTTTGCTTAACACTTCACCCAGTAAATAGCAATGTTTCGCTATTATAGTATAATCTTTTTCTGGACAGTATTTTGTATAACTGAAAACTTTTATTTCCCGATATGAATTTAAAACAAGCAACAAAGGTTAATAAAGCAGGATTTAATGAATTCATCAAATTTCGGTAGAACTCGTCAGCTGAATACTCTACATACACGGAAATATATACACTTTTGAAATTACATTGGGAGATACAAGACTGATAAGTAAACAAACTACATTAAATTAGTCATGCAGAACGACAGGTGAGAATGTTTTCCAGGCCAGGTTCAAATAAATAAGGCGAGAGAGAGTATGAGAGATAAAATTAAGATAAATTCCATTACGCTTCAATTATGTCACTTGGATAAACAATTAGTCATTAGAGAACATAACAGGAATTGCAAAGAGTAATATCAATAGTAATAGTTATAATAACAATAATAATGTTGAAGTGAGTTAAGATTATCCTACTGATTAGTTTAAATGAATCAAGAATAATAATAATAATAAGACGTAGAATAATAAGTGAAACGTATTACCATGGTAGATTAAGAGTCACAACCATCTCCTTTTGTACACAGAGACCTCGTTTATAAATTCGAATTGCACAAGCCTCTGGAATTGCAAGCATCTTCTTGTTTCTTTGTTTACTGACAATGGTGAATGACTTGACAGCCTCGATATCGTGTCCGTAATCCACAAGATGTTTTGTTATTGAGGATTTTGGCACTTTGCACTCAGCTGTTTTCAACCATTTTGGCAAATGCTCCATCATGCGAGTAGACAATCACCTTTCTGTACAACCTATGTGTTTGCTTCCACAAACACACTCAAATTGATACACGCAGTTTGAAGTGTCGAGGATTGGCGACTGGTCTTTCGCAGATTGTTGAAGCACTCACTCAGTGGTGGTGTTAAGGATAACAAGTTTTGCAGAATAATAAGTTCTTTTGATGGCTTTATCGAGTCTTCGTTTGACTACTTCCTGAACATCATCTCCTTTGAATGGCAAATTGACATAGACAGGTTTCTTCGGAACTGTTTGGATTGTTTTGCAGGGGCTAATTTCTTTGGAGTATTTCTTAATCAACTTCTCAGGATATCCATTCTTAGATAAAATATCCTTCAGAGATTTTATTTCATGCTTAATAATACTGTCAGAAAAAATTTTCGTGCTCTGTTGAACAGTGTTCTGACTAAGTTCTTTTTACACTGGACTGGAACAAAGCTCTTGAAATGCATGTACACTGTCCTGTGCATGAAGACTTTCTATATATAGATCTTTCGATTGTGCCATCATTCATTTTCGCTAGGAATTTAATAGTATCGTTTCCCTCATATTTATATAGTATTCATATAATGTACAGAATTTTCAGAGGAGTTTATTGCATGATATTCTCCTCTCGTATAATATCTCCAAGTAAAACATTAATTGACAGTATTTCCCGTATTAGACACAATGGTCTCTGAGCTGATGAAGCACAAATCATTCCATTACGATATATCTGCTTTGTCTCCCTCAAAAAATCCACGATATCTGGTTGTAAGCGAATCGTGAGATGTCCTGAAGGACATTCTGAGACCCAGTTACATAACTGAAGAACAGCTTTCTCATGTATTGGAACATGTCGCCACCGGCATCCAGGCCTTTACTCAAGTTTATTAGAAACCTGTGAATCAGAAGTTTGTAAACATTCTAAACACACACACACAAGAGTAGATAATAATACCATTAGAGGTCAGTATACTATTGAACATATCACTTTCGTTTTAACTGAATTGAATTTGAGATTTTCCCGTCGATTGATTGGACCGAAGTGCTCGGTCTCAGGTTGACATGTCGGCTTCTTGTGCAGATGCTTCGACGATGTCTGGGCATTTAGTTAGTATTTAATTGGTGGGTGGTGACTAGCAGTGGAATCCAGGATAAAGCGCATTTCGTCCTATTTTGGACTCGTCAGCTGGATGTACCTGCATTTCCCAGTGAGTGATGATGTTCCCACGGATTCTCCAATCCAGCTGACGACTCTCAAATAGGACGAAATACGCATCCTGGATTCTACTGCTAGTCACCATCCACAAATTAAATATCACTCTTGTTGTTTTACTAACTCAGTTTTACTTAACTTTACATTGAATGTGCTTCTTTTTTCTTATAAAATTAATTAGCTATTACCGTGGTGCTGTCGGTGCACTATTAGTTTATGATATCTCAAAACCACATACATTTTTAAATCTGGATAGATGGTTAGAAGAGTTGCGAGAATATGCTTCAGAGGATATTGTCATTATACTAGTTGGGAATAAATGTGATTTAAAACATTTGCGATGTATCCTGACTGAAGATGCCCAACGATTTGCTGAACAACAAGGCATGTCATTTATTGAGACGTCAGCGTTGGATTCTGTCAATGTTGAAGAGGCATTTTATCAAACACTTAAAAGTGAGTTAAATAAAATTTTAATTTTTGTATTGGAGTATTTTTAACTTGTGTTTTAATAAAACCAACATGTTCTGTCTGACTAGAAACTTATCTGAATGTATATATATCTATATATGTATATATTGAAATAATAAGGAAGATTTGTAGCTCAGGTGGGTGATTTCCAATTACTTATGTTCTCTTAGCCAGTCGATTTCATTACCTGGCTTACACCGTCCTTCTGGACAACATCCCCCTCCATATCAAGTTTTAGCATAAAGTGAACTGATTTAAACTCTCCATGAATGATGATAGAATTGTGTCTCGTGGCAGTAATCACCCTCTTGACTGGTAGTCGATTAATATCTGTATTGACCATTTTTATATTGACTGGGAATTCTGTCCTTCTTGTATTGTGATTTACTTTTTATTAGTTGGTAAATTTGGTCTATATTAATATGTTTGTTAATTGCTGGCTGATTCGCTTGAGTACCAACCAGGCTTCTAGGAATTCTCTGGCACTTTTAGTGTTTCCTCTGTTTAAAATTTCGATATTATCCCAATCAAATTAGTGTCCATAATTATCTGCATGCATTGATATGAAAGAATATATATCATGTCCTTTTACACCCAATTTGTGGTCTTGGATTCTGGTTCGAAGGGGACACTCAATTTGACTGATGTAATGACTGTTACAGTTCATACGTGCAGTTTATTTTGTAGATGGTACTAATTTTATCTTCTTTCTCTGTTGGATCTTTCAGTTTGCACAATATTGAATGAAGTGATTGTGCTGACTGGCTAGCTGGCTTGTGTGGTATATCGATATCAAAAGGTTTTAATATTCTAGCTGTTATTTCAGAGATATTTTTTTATATATGGTGGAATGCATTTTCTTGTAGTCTTTGATGATGGTTTCTTGTTGGTGTTGTGACTCAATTTTAAACAGTTTTTGATGAAATTGTCATGAGGGTATCGACTCTTTTTGAAGACCGTTGTTAGTAGGTATTTCTCCTCAATTCTCTTCAACACTGGAGTATACCAGTGTGTTTGACGAGGAAGTTCAAATTCAAAGTCAATAAAAAATGATCAGTAGATATGTAAACCGACTACCAGTCACGAAAATGGTAGCTACCAGGAGACACAATTCTATCATATTTATTATTACTATAATTTACTTTAATTCCTAGAGAAACATAGGGCTTCAACTGCACGTCTCCATTGCATTCGGTTCTCTGCTAACGTTTTTCACCTGGCTCTATGTCTGCAATCCACATGCTTTCATCTCCTGTTCACATGACCTCCTTCAAATTACCCTTGCACTGACGACCAACTCGCCGCTTCCTTTTCGGGTTCCACTCGAGGTATTGTCTAACGATGTTACTTGATGGTTTCCCCAGAGTATGGCCTATTTGCTGCACAATCGGTTCCTGCTTGGTTGGTTCGCTCATTTCCAGAGATCCCTGATACTGATACTTTCTGGCTGGCCATCTGATCTTGAGTATTCAGCGAAGGCAGCTGTCAATGAAGGTCTGAAGTTTGTTTGAGATGCTCTTTATGACGCGCCAAATCTCTGATCCGTATAGTAGGATTGACTGACTTCACATTGGAGGTGAAAATCCGGATCTCATTTTCGTTTTCATGCTTAGTGCTGTTGACCTCACACAGACTTGAGAGTAATGAAAGCTTGTCTTGCTTTCCCGATCCTCGCTGCTTTGATATCCTCATCAGTTCCGCCTGTAGTTTAAACGGTGCTTCCCAGGTAGGCGAGCAGGTAAAGGAGGTTGTTTCTTTCAGGTTCCTCCCGTTTATGCAGATTGTTGTCTGTTGTTGTTGCTGTGGCCGTTGGCCAGGAATCTTCATCACCTCTGTTTTCTTTATGTTCACCTGAAGTCCCATCTTTGATCCATCTTCTGCCACCTTGTTGCTTTTCACTTGAATATCTTCCAGTTTGTGGGAAATCAGACATCTTTCATCGGCGAGGTTCAGATCCTTCAAGTTTTTTGTGAGGGTCCATTTTATGCCTGTTTCCTCATTGCCCGCTGTCTGTCGTATTATCCAATCTACTGCAATCAGAAATATCATTGGCGATAGTAGACAGCCTTGCCTCACTCCCATTCTCAATTCGAAGGCTTCTGTAAGTTTCCCGTTGTGGATTACTTGGCATGCAGCATTGTCGTACAACCATTGGATGACATGCATAATTGTCGATGGCACCCTATAGTGGCGAAGTAGTTTTCAAATCACCTCTCGATCGACGCTGTCGAAGGCCTTTTCAAAGTCGGTGAAGTTGAGCGAGATAGAGAGGTGACTGCCATTCTAAGCTTTAATCAATGATGTTTCGTAGACTGGCGATTTGATCAATACATGACTTGTTTCTCCTGAATCCAGGCTGTTACGGTCGAAGTTTTCATCCAGGGCTTGTCTGATTCTCTCCAGGATGATGCGGCTTAGTATTTTGCTTGGAATAGACAGGAGCATAATTCCGTGCAAGTTTTTACATTGACTTAAGTCTCCTTTCTTTGGTAGTTTGAGCAAGTATCCTTTCTTCCAATCCTCGGGTACTTTGCCCTCTTACCACATCTTTTCCAGTAGTGATGTCATCAAGTCTGCTGTTGTCTCTGGGTCCATTTCCAGTGATTCTGCTGGGATTCCATCTGGTCCTGCTGCTTTTCCAGCTTTTAGCATTTTGATTGCGTTCAGAACTTCTGATTTCGTCGAGGGGTCAATGTTCACTCGTAGTTCTGCTGCCGTTGTTGGTATTGTTGAGCGCGTTTGAGATGGCGGTCGATTGAGAAGTCTTTTGAAGTGTTCAGCCCAGTGTTTCCTTTGTTCCACCCCTTTGGTGATTGACTATCCATTATCATCCTTCACTGGCTCAATTCGATTTAAAATCAGTTCATTTTATGTGAAAACTTGTGCTGAAGGGGAGTGTTTTCCAGCAGGGGGGGGGCGACGAAAGCTTTGCAATTAAATCAACCAGCTCAGAGGACACAACTAATTGCAACTATATATATATATATATATATATATATATATATATATATACGATTGACATAACTCAGTAACCGGTCAAAAACTCAAAAGAAAAGGAGAAATAGCGAACTAAATATCAGTGTTTAACCTGAAACCAATCATACAACTCTAGGTGGCAACTCCTGTATCACATTGCATTGATCATTTGCCAGATGTAGACAGTGTTTAATAGCTCATCAGAAAAGAATGCTTTCCTCAGTCATCTAGGAGAGGTAGATCTTCAGAATCTTAGTCGTGGTGTCACCTCTAAATTAAACATTTACAAACAGCTACTTCTTCGGCAGGGTTTGGATTCTTCTTTCAGATTTCTGCATTACTCTCCTGTTCTCCTGGATGAATTTTGTAGGAAATCCATTCTGAATAATGACTTGTGTAAGTCTTTCTAGTTTATGATCGATCGATTCACTGGTACAATACAGTACAATCGGAAATGTGACGATAAAGCCCCATGTTCCACTTGGAGTTCCAGGACCGAATAACAGTAATAGAAATGTGGAGTTACGGCCCCAAGCCCGTGGACTATTCAGTCACTTCGGCTGGAATTCAGTAGTGCAGAAATTTTAACATCTTTGCACTCACAATTCTAGCTTTACCGTTAGTCAATGTCGCACTGGACCTGGCACACCCCAGTAGTCATAACTTCTTCCAAGTATTTCAGATAACTTCTTCCTGCAGTTAGCCACCGGTGATTGGCAGAATAATTTTTGACAGTAAATTCAATCTCTAGTGGAGATGTTAATTATTGGTAGTGTTGTGGATTAGCTACACTTTACCAACCCTTACTTAACACAATTTACCTATGTACCCTATACTCTGTAGTGCACGTTTCAATGACAAAGACTTTGGCTCAACTTGTACCTACATGTACCGGCGCCAACGCCACTTTGTGAAAATACAATTTAAAACAAAGTCGTTAGCATTAGAATGTATACTACAGGGTCATGAGTGTATAATACTGAAGAGTTCCACTAACTAGGATTAAATAGTTTTCCAGTACTCCCTGGTTATCAATGAGGTATCTAGAGGTATGACTACAGAACTTGCAAAAGAAATTATCGAAAAGAATGTTCATTGTTCAATTTTCAATGTTTGTCATTTTTAATCTTACTGAGATGAAAGTTCATAGTGCTTTTGGGAGCAAAAGAACAACATTACCCTTATAAATGACAAGACAATAAAATATTCAGATTTCATCTTCTCAATTTTTAATTATTAATTTTATCGTAATATAAAAAAGACGCCAAATTCGATTGAAATAATAGTGTCAACATTATTATCGATTAATTTTTGAAATTTCTTTTATTTCATCATACATTTTGTGTATGCCAATAAAACAGAGGTATTTGAATATTAATACAAATGAATTTTTTAAGCTTGTGAGTTCTTAGTTGAATGAGACTCTGAGTTCAATAACACTGCTTGATTTCTGTAAGTAGTAGGTTCTTCAAGTCGAAGTAGCCTGAGAGGAAGGGGATTCAATGAGGCGAAAAAACAAGTAATCCCAGTGGGTGCGTACCGCTGATGATTCCCAAACTAGGATGAAACAGCAGCTGTCCAGTACTCCCTGGTTTTCAATGGTTCTCTGACTGATATCAATTCGTGATCAGCTCGTAAAAAAAAACCATTACAAACCAAACTATAGAAAAAATGTAGTTGGAACGTCTGATTCAGGAAGCATGTTTTTCGTAAACGGATTACTTTAAAGGTTCAGTGATATGTACATACCACACTTCGTGCCAACTTTCTTAGGTGGGTATACAACAGCAGCCATTAAAACAAATTCGTTTGTCTTTCACTATCAGGGGTCGAACTTAAGACTTTAAGGGTACAAGGCAAGCAAATATACAGCTGAGTCACCTGTGGCTGAATCCGACGGCTGGTCCATGAATTCACGCTTTTGCCAATTCCTCACATACAAAACAATCACCAGCTTATACTATCGGTTCCTCACACTCAACTTGATAAATGCTGCTAGTCACAAATTTTCATTAAAATTACAGCCATCTTCATGCTGCAATCACTTATTGGTGGTCATTCCGTATATAGCAAACTGACAGAAGTTAGAGTTTTGGGTGGGCTGGATTCCATCCCAGTGGCTTAGTGATGTACTAGCTCGCCTTCTAACCTGATGGTCGCAAGTTCGATATCCATGGTGGGGTGATGAGTGGCTACTGCTGAAGAGTTACCTCCATTTCTCTTACGCATCCTTGGCAGGACGCAAAAAAGATGGTCACTTACAATCTGAAATGTGTAAGGTGGTGTTGTGCGTGGCCTCGCATGGTTTTGTAATACGTGTTTAAAGAAACTGTAATCAATAAATCAAGTAATAAGTGGAAACCTTACGTCTTTAACTCTGTTAACATCAATCTAAAGTGTAGCGACTTACCTAGACTGATTACTCTGATGCTGACAGAATTCCGTGAGAATCTGTACTACTTGTAGTGCACATTGTACCTTTGAACTTTTGTTTAAACTGACTCACCCACGGTGATCCACGTTTTATCTTTTGACTTGGGAGTCTTCCGTACGTTCATTGGTTCGCTCTCTTGTTGTGCTCTCTTTTTGCACACTCTCCGAGCCTACCTCCAGCAATGTCTGCAGATAAGTTGTACAGTCACTTTATTTATTAAATCTGTTATTCAGTTACGTTAAATACAACTCATACTAAGAATTCTTTCCATTGTTAGCTTTTAAACTTTGATTGAGTTAATCAGTACTTACACGTTAGGTAGAGTACTCGTAAAGTCATAAGACGGTGAAGTTTTTAGTAAGTGTGGTGATTTCGAGGACTATCTTAAGTCTAGCTTCAACACTTACATACTAAAGACTAGGCACATGACACTAGTTACTGCTGACTTACTAATCGGTATATACGTTACTTCAATCACTTAATAAATTCTAATCATTCCTTTTAACTGCCTTATTTGATCATATTTCCTTACAGCTATTTATAATGTGGTCAGTAGTCATCCATCCTTTAATGAACAAGAGGCGAGTATTTCACCAACCAATAATCTTCCCATCGAAAAACCAAGTATAAAGGAACCGGAAAGAAGGAAATTTTGTTGTATGTAAATAGAGTAGAAAAGAATTTCTTTCTATTTTTAAAATTTCAAAAAGAACAACGACGAACTTTTACAAGTTTTCAAAACATTCTGTGATATATATAAACGCACAATGTTCAATGTCCAATTATTATCAACCGACAGACTACATGAATCAGTCAGTCTCTGACAAAGAACAAAGATTATTTACATTCTCACTGTGAATATTTCTTTATGTATTATTTTAGTAAGATTATTCAGAGTGGAATATAGAAAAACAACAGTTGAGATTATGTTTCTTACAGTAAACAGTTTATTTATTGGCTCTCATAATTATTTATCATTACTGAAACCTTTGTATTCCCCGTCTGTGTGTGTGCGTGTATTTGTACGTGTATGTCTGTGAATATTTCTTTATATATGGACTTAGTTACCCGCTTGTTTTTGGTCACGTCAATACCACAGTAGAGTACAATGCATATCATTTTTCCAAAACAAAAACGTATACATCGCAACATACACACATATTTATCCTTTGTACACAAACACACTAAACTGATTTATATTCCTTTTTTATGCTCATAATTTTCTTTGAAAAATTCAATAGTAATCAATAATATTATGTTGTTTGCATGTTTGCTACCTTTTGTTTTGTGACTTCAATAAGTATTGTCAAACTGGATGGGATTTACTTGTTTTCGTGGCGGACGGCGTTGAAGTGTCCCCCTGGGTGAACTTGCCCCACTGTAAGTGAGTGTGTGTGATGGTGTTCTCACTGTGACCTTAGCTTGATATTTATCACTTCAAAAGTCAATGAGTTATCGGGCAAGCCATCTCCTGTTTAACGGATATTATATGAAATCTTTTTTCATGTTTGTGATTTTCTCTCATCGATACGTCCGACCGCACTGATCACCATCAATTACGTATACTCTACGTGAGTGATACTAGGATCGAGAGTTTTAAATAACTTATTTGGTAGTTCCAAGGCTGCTCAGATTGAAGAATAAGTGGGAAGTGGCAGAAAACTCATCATGGATTGAAAAGCTGTAAGAGAAACAAGTGAGAACAGATAACTTTTCGCATTCTAAGATGGTTTAGTGATGTAAAAACTGCGGACAAAGAGTATGCATAAGTTTCACCGGATAGATAAACCAAATATCAGATGGAATTCATATCAATCTCAGGAAAGTGAAGATGTATCCTACTGGAAACAAGATGGAGAAGAGAATCGCATGCATGTTGTGGCCATTATCCCTTCAATTTCAGCTCACAAAATTAAAGCCGAAGCTACAAAATGTACCTTCACTTGAGCCACTGAGAAAACTTCTAAAACATTGACGAACATTACTGAGAAAACGCAGGTGAATAAAAATTGGAAATCTCTTGAAGCGATAGGAGTGGAAAAGAGGCAAGATGAAGAAAGTTGCTCTACTCATCCCTAGAAATTGAAAGGAGGGCTGTGACATCGACGGCTAATTAGTAGAGATGAAGAAGAGATTACAATGCAATGAACTGAGAGATAAAGAATGCTTGGGAAGGGAAAATGATGCTTTTATGATACTTAATTGGATGAAGAAAAATCAGCTGCAAGTCGGGAACAACCCGGAATAATTGTGTTAATTACCAAAGTTGGTGTGAAATGAGATCAGTTCAGATGAAGTCAGTGGAAGATAGTACAAGATATCCAATTACCAGAGAGGTTAAAGAAAGGAAACACTTAGCTGATCAGCTCGAGGGATTGTTGGATCTACCTTCAGCCACAACCCTTCCAGATAACCATGACCACCAACAGACAAGCAACCAATACTGAACATCAGCCCTGCAGCAAAAGTGGAAGACTTTAGTGTTATAAAGTTACAGGAAACCGTAAAAGTAGCACAGCCACACGGAATTTCCCCCAAAAGCTCTTAAAACAATATAGAGACCATGGTGAACGTGCTCACACAACTAATACTGAAGGTTTGCAGGGAAAAGGACATAACGAACCTAAACAGTAGTGATCACGGAGTGCCATGTATTTCACACAACGAAGCCGTTTTTACGAGAAAAATGCATCTAATTGCAATGAAGCACCGTCTAGACTTTTTTCACACTAATGCACCTTAGAAATTGTTTCCAATCACAAAGAAGAGTATCCGCTTTTGCGATTCATTTCTGTTGAAACAGTTTCATCTGTCTGAACAACGACACCCCCTCTCGATAATTAATTTACAAGGAAAACGCAAACAACAAGAGAATGCCTTGCCCATTAACCATAATCCTAACCATAAATACGACCCCAATACCAATCCTAACCCAAACATGCCATCATCATGTAGTCTAAACAGCAGCATGAGAACTCGACCTCCCTTAGTGCACAGAGTTCATATTGGCTCCATCATAATGGCGGGGGCTTAAATATCACCAGTGTTATGCATACCCATTCTTTAGGTTGACCGGGGACATACTTATCGACTAGAAGAAAGGTGTTTTGTCATAATGACGAATTAAGCTTATGCATAAACTGGCATGACATAATGCTCCTGTTCACAATGAGCAGAATATCAAATTGCATCATCACTGAGTGGAATATGCTCTGCTATGTCCAATACTTCCATCTTTAAACACCAAAGTTGTCCTTCATATACCACTTCGCATTTGGAGTTAATTAGACATTTTGTGCTTAACTGGATTGTTGCACACTTCTTGTTTGAGTTGACACTATTAATGGCGAGCTAATCTCGAGTTCGACTATTGCGTTCTTAGTGTCTGGACGCCGGATAACTTCCTTTGTGAAAGTTTGTACTACGTTTATCCAATAGAAACTGTTTAAAAGAACAATAAAACGGAAGCCTTCGGAGATCCATTAACCAGTACAATACTCTTATGAATGTAGTTGAAGATTAAACGATCAATTCATGGTTGTTTGCTCAAAACCAACTTCCCTATATTTTCGCGGAGGCGTCAATGCACTAGTCATCGTCTCATCGGTCGCTGTCCAGAAAGAAGTCAGGACAAAACCGTCAGAAGTAATATTGTGGTTTATTATTGTGATATTTGTTCATAGACCTTAGTTGTAAAGCTTAGTTGTACATAGGCTATATGTTGGTGTTAGAATAAATAATTCTCTAGTGGCCAAACTGGGTTCTGGTTTTTGCGTCCGTTCGTACTAAGCGTTTCTGAGAAGCTTCTAGGAACATCGTGAGTCTCAGCGTAGCAAGAGCTGGGCAATGACGGTTTACGAGACGTGGCTGACAGTTTCGGACGGTTGGTGACAGTTTGGACAGTCACCGTTCATCTTTCCTGGTGCCGGCGAAGTCTTCTTTGAACAAGCAATATCTGGAACATTTTTCGAATCGGGTCAAGTTCAACAATGCCTGGGTCAAAGAAGGGACAGAGCGTCTTGGATTCAAACAGGAAAGTAAGTCATGGTGACCTGTCTGTTACTTGTAACGATGTGTCTGATGTTAAGCATGATGTCAATGGAGTTGAAGATTGAACGATCAATTCTTGGTTGTTTGCTCAAAATCAACTTCCCCAATTTTCGCGGAGGCATCAATACGACAGTCATCGTCTCATCGGTCGCTGTTCAGAAAGAAGTCAGTAGCAAACCATCAGAAGTAACCTCGTGATTTATTATTGTAATATTTGTTCACAGACCTTAATAGAAATATTTTTTATATGTTGGTGTTACAATAAAGAATTCCCAAGCGGCCAATCGGTGTTTTGGTTTTCGCGTCCGTTACTATTGAGCGTTTCTGAAAAACTGCAAGGAACAGCGTGGGCCCGAGCGTAGCAAGAGCTGGGAATTAACGGTTTATGAGACGTGGCTGACAGTTTCTGATGGTAGAAACAGACTTTGGCGGATTCAGACAGTTGGTGAAAGTTTGGATAGTCACCGTTCATCCTTCCTGGTGCCGGTCAAGTCCTTTTGAACAAGCAATATCTGGAACGTTTTTGGAATTGGGTCAAGTTCAACAATGCCTGGGTCAAAGAAGGGACAGAGCGTCTAGTGAGTGTAACAGGCTTCGTAGTACATCCTCAACAGATACGTTGCAAGATGCAAGACAAACACGGTTGTGTTTTACACGTTTGTAAGAGGTGCATACAAAGATGAACTGTGAACCAGTGAGCCAGTTTAATGATAAGCTAAATATGAAATCCAGGCCTGAATCCGAATTGTGTGACGATAACGGTTTGGTCAGGAAGTCTGTAGTTGCAACTGGTAAGCCATTGTTGAATCGAGTGTCACAGAATAGAGTTGCTGCTTCAGAGTGCAGTTCTGACCCTACAAGTTTACAAGGTATTACTAGTCAGAGTGAAGTTATAAAACCTTTTATGATTTGCGAGGAGGAACCAAAATTGTCTACTTCTGTTATTAAAGAGTTTGAAAATGATGAAGTTGACGGTAAAGTGAATATTCGTGATAATGATCATGATGCTTCACATTTGTCTTTGGCTGATCATTATGAGATGAGGGATATGCCTACTACTGCTAAGTTAAATAAAGGTTCGGTACAACTACAACGTGATGTAGAATTGAACGCAGATTCAGTCGCAGAAGGTGTGCATACTTGTGAGACAGTCAGTGTAATTGATCAGCGTGTAGCCCACCTATCATCAGATGGTAGTGCTAAACCGGAGCTGATACTAAAAGACAGCAGTGGTGGTAATTTTCCAGTTATACAAATTCCTGAAAGCCGAACAACAACAGCTTCTGATCCACCGCTAAGTTCATCAACTGGTATCAATCAGTCGTCGTTGGTGTTGTCATCCACATTGAAACAAACGCCCATGAACTCAAGTCCCTTGTGCAATGGCTATGATAGTATCGGTGCATTGGAAAAGACGAAAGATATTGCTCAGTTTAGTGAGGATAAGCCAAGTGTGTACGAGAGGGTAATTGTTAAATTGACTTGCATGAATAAAGGCATTTCTAGTTTCAAGTTACTATTTGAATTCTATTATCTTTGGTGTGAATTACTCTGTACCCAAGCTTGGTTGATCAGATACGTCGTGTGTTTGTTCGTCATCTATATTCTACGATACAATGACATGGGCGTGTTGCCGTTCAGGTTTGAGGATATAGCTCATAGAAGGAAGTCAGCAAATGAACTCTGCGACGATTTTCCAACCTAGGGCGTCAACCTGAGAAGGGTTGCGGGCATACTGCTGTAGGTCCTACAAATCTTCAAAGGGTAGCGCATCAATGAGCAGTCCAATGTGCTTGGTGTGTGATTTTGTACATATGTTCATGTTGTATATACTGGATTGGTAACATCTTTCATCTAGTTTTTGGTAATTCTGTTTGTGTCCGGACGACTTCCACTTGTATCATCAACCTGAGAAGGAATGTAGGCGTACTGCTGTAAGTCCTACAGTTCTTCAAGGGTAGTTCGTCATGACAGAATCCACCACATTTGATGTAGTCATTGTACATATGTTTGTGTTAAATAATTGTGTGAGTTCCGGTTATTGTAATTGTTGGTTAGTCTTGATTGTGTCCGGACATTCCACAACTTACAGTCGTCAACGTGAGAAGGGTTGCAAGCGTACTGGTGTAAGTCCTGCAGTTCTTCAAAGGAGTTACATTGAGTCTTGTTCGGCGAGGTTATTTGTAATGTTTGTTTATATGTGTGGTGTGTCATATCAATTGG